TTTTCTAGTACAGATATTTACCTACAATAGAATAGAGAAGTTGGAGGAGTATAATTTCCTCTGCCGCTCTAATCGAAAGTTCAGGGAGCAGTGTGACACTGTGATTTCATTTTACTAAACATGTGGAAAAGAAAACAACACTTTTGAAATAAACATTTACAACCTACATATAGAGGAACAGTTATTGTCATAATATAAGTACATATAAGATATTTCATAACTGATCCCGATCCCGAAAATCCGCTGTTTTGTTTTTTTTTTTTACAAATATCTTAGATAATTTATAAAGTCTCTGCAGTTTTGGCATATTTCTTAAGAAAAATTTTCTTTATTGAAATAAATTGTAATCATTTACATGTTGAAAATTATTACATATAAATATCTGACCTTTTGTTATTCTTCGTGTTGCTACATAACTTCTTAGGTGTAGAGCTTCTGTTGTCTATCGTCGGCTCTTCGGTCGGCGAGTTTTAAATTATTACCAAGAGAGTTTTTCAGAGATCGAAACATATGATAGTCAGTTGGTGCATGTTCCGAGGGCGTGCGCTAAAACTCCTCAACCAAGCTGAGGTAATTTTTCGTCCAGCCTTGAAAGATGCATGTGATCTGGCGTTGTCATGGTGAAACCCTATACCTTTTCTATTGTGTCCTAAAAATAACCGAAATTTATATTTAAATCATACAACATACAGCGCCATCTATTGAAAATTTGCAACATTAAAAAGATACATTCATCCTCTTTCAAACGCACCTAACTTCATGTAAGTCGGATGACAGATGTAAAAGTGATAGCCATTTCAATGAAACCAAAAGTGTGCTAACGGTTCAAAAATAAAATGGAACAAAGAGCAAATATAAAATTTTGTGTCAAACTTGTAAAAAAAATTAATGAAAAAAGTTTATTGTGATGATTGTATAAGTCGTACGCAAGTTTATACGTGGTTTACACGATTTAAAAATGGTCGTGAGGATTTAAATGACGACCCTAGAGCAGGACGTCCAGAAACTATTGTAGTAATCGTGCTAAACTGGTGGAAAAAGTACGTGAAATCATTGGCATCGATGCAAATTTTACTACGAGAATGTTGGCTGAGGAATTGATTACGAGTAAAAACACTATTTGGAGAATTTTAACTGAAGATTTGGGGAAAAGAGAGGTCTGTGCGCGATTTGTTCCACATGAATTAAATGACGACCAAAAAATCGCTCGATTTTTTAATGAATTTTTAATGAAAAAAGTGATTTCTCTCATCGACCATCCTCCGTATTCGCCTGATCTATCACCATTAGACTATTTTTTATTTCCAAAACTGAAAACCAAGATGAAGGGAACATTTTATGATGATATCCCAGCCATTTAAGCAGCCGTAACCGAACATTTCTGAAGAACATTTCCATAAATGACATAAAAAAATCTATGCATGCGCTGGTTGATCGTTCCAAACGTTTTGTTGAATCAAATGGAACTTATTTTGAATAAATAATAATTGATTATTTTTGGGACACACCGTGTATATGTTGTAAATTGATTTATTGTGGGGTGTAAAATTCAGTACTGATCATTTCGCTAGATTATAGCAGCTCATAATGGACTAATCACTTCCAATACCACCATACACTCAGCATCACCTTGTCTTGCTTAAACAGTTTCAGAATTTCATTGACTTTATGAGTGATTGGCCGACCGGAAAGCAGTGTATATTTACGGATCGGACTCGAGCTAACCATTACTTGGTTTCGCTTTACTAAAAGCATTTTCAACGGCTTTATAAAACTTGCCTGAGATAATTTAATTCGAACTACGCTAATAAATCACTTGCAACGTGCTCGCCATTTATTCGAGGAGCTTTCTTATTGCATGCCAGAAATACACTCTTTAGTGTTTGCTTCGGGCTATGTGATGAGTGCAAGGAACGACTATAATTTTAATTTTCTACAACTTTGGATGTTGGTTGGATGAGAACTCGAAACGTGGCCAAATGGTAAGACGCACTACTAACCACTCGACTTTGGCGGTCGACTCTTGCAGTTTACTTAAAGGAATGTGGACCGCTGACATCCACCAGTTCGGTTGAGAGGTTGAGCTAATAAATTTTGAGTTATGTTATTTAAACGAGCGATCCCGAATCCAGTTGGCCGTCACTATCACCTTTAATATATTATATTATACAGAAGTAGTGTCCATAAGCCAAGCCAAAGAGCATCTTAAGCGACTGCTTTCTATAAAAAGAGAAAAGAGTTTGTTTTTTTTTTGTGATGTGTCCATGCGTAGGGAAAATATGAAAAGCGTCCGATAAATACGATTAAGCGCGTGCTGTTAACACTTGAACCAATCGAGTCACCTTTCTTCCTTAAAGGAAGTGGGAAAAATCGACAAATTGAATTTTTCACACCACATAGAGTGCAATATGAATATAACGGTACATACACATCAATGCAAACAAGCAATCACATATCATTAGGGGCGTGAGAGTGCGGGGGTGCGACAGCAAATCATAGCTATAAACTAAATGTTGGATGACTTCATGACGTACTACCTGCTAATGGTTGACAGCGGTGGACAAAAATGGACTCAAATGTAATTTTGTATATTTTCAAAGGGAAATTCAATTTATTTTTAACAATACTGATTTTGATAGTCGTCAACTACCTTTTAATAATGGGATTTAGTTATTAAACTATGTACGTGTATGTATGTATGTATAAATGTTATTGAAATTTCTTTTACGTTGACGTTTAGTGGCGTTGAGCGATGAACCGGTGGGAGGTGGTGTAGGTGATACACATACATACACAAGTCATCTTCTTATTTATTTTTATAACGGGGGGGTGGGTCTCTCATGGAAGTGTTCAATACATACATATGTACAAGTATCTAGCAATTAATAAAGCTAGAGCACATTAACCTCCGAGTTATGGCGCAGTGTTAGTATGTTCAATGACGAGTATTTAAATATAATAAAGTAGAAACATTTTTATAAGAGCTTTTGTCTTAGCTAAATGCACAGTTTCTGCAGCTACGGACGTGTTTGAGACGTAGTAGACGATGAGCACTTTCATGTGCATTAATTAGACTATCTTCTACATCGTTTTGTGAATCAATTAAAGCGAGCCTACGCGTAAGAGACAATATTATTTTGAAGCTATAGACAGAGTTAAATTAAGTTATTTTCTAGAGTTTATCTGGGCCTGGGTAGGCCACACTCAAGCTTACGGTGTGCAATTACAGGGCAGAAGATTCAGTGAAGGCTCGCTGGGTTATTGAGTTTATAGTCGCTGAAGTGACATTCAGCCAAGCTCTTCTTCCAATTAATGGTGCGCGTATTGATATTTTTGTATAATGTATGAAGTCTTGCTTCTTGGTATGCAGATGCGTTAACTAACCAATTAATTTGCTCCACCAATACCGCATCCCCTATCAAAGTTGTGGTACTCGGCTTGCCAAGGTGTCCCTGTCGACCTGGTTTATGTCATGACATAGGGCTTACCACCTCATCACCTTCTAGGAATTGCGATGGATCATAGAGTACAAGTGTTGGATTTGTTGTAAGAAAACGTTCACCCCGATGAATAAACTGCAATCCCTGCGTGTTACGGGTGCAAGAATATACCCGCAGAAAGGCATGCCTGTCATAAGAGGCTACTAAAATCCAATAGTTCCGGCGATAGCCGCGTCTTTATACCGGAACGAGCCGGATTTTTTATTCGGCCAAGGACTGTGACGTCCGCAACATTCCCAAAAACTACTTCGGGGAATATTTTTTTGGTTGTAACAACAACAACAACATGGACGAGCTGCTCCCCACAATCCGCATCAAAGAAAAGTTCTTCAATGTGCCACTGATCAGAGGTGAAGGACGATGTGACAAACGATGCTTTCTCAGAGAATGCCCATACGAGCGCAGCTTCCTTTACGCGTGTCTATGTCGTGTGTGGGTACCTTAACGAGAGGGTACGCGAAGAAAATATGTATCTCTGAAACAACGCACTGTTATCAAGCAACTTCGACGTGAACTGATACACGGATATTTGTTTAGGTTACCACTATCTTATTGCGGCCGAGATACCCATCAACGGTAGAGAGAGGCATTTGAAGAGTATGAAGAACTTAAGAATATAGCCGACAGGGGAAGCGTGCGAAAAGATGGAGCAACTTCCAGATGGTTAGAAGACCGGAACATTTTTTTGTAGAAACTCAACGGACATCTGGACCTCTGGTGACTGATGTTTTGAGTATATTAAGTTTATCGAGGGAACATTTCGTCAGCAGTGAAAGAGATACACCTGGAGTTGGCGTACCGGAAACACCAATCAAGGTTTTAGGGGGTGCCACCTACAAGCCGAATTTAATTTCGAAGATTTGTTGCATAGGTCATTAAACTAAATCTAGCCATAAACAAACTTTTTCGAATGAGTCAGTTCTTGGTCCACTTTCCGGATAGAAGTTTAGCCTTCCTGTCCATCTAAGCACAATGCCACCCATGAACCGAACATCAAGCAAATCGAGTATATATGATTATAATGAAGTCCGTATAGTACTGGCCGTCTTGAAGAACAACAAAGTGGGCGGAGTCGACGGCCAACCGGCTGGGCCATTCAAATATTGTGGTGAATACCTGAAAAGGTGCATGTATGAACTTCTTTCCAGAATATGGACGGATAAGTGCGTACTTAAATGTAGTCTACCCAAGTAACCTCCGATGCGCCAATAAGCGTCCGATAAGATTCCTCAATATCGCATATCATGTCCTGTGTGGAATTTTATGTCAGAGTCTAAAAACCAATCGTCACCGATCTGATATTAGAACGCGTTAGTGTCGACACGAAAGGCATTCCATCTAAGACGTAGATGCTTGACCTTCCCCATGTTGAATCTTTTCAAGTCGATTTCATTTCATTACTGTTCGTTTAAAATCATGAAATATTTTAATTCTTTTAATAATTATCTTAAATCCGTAAAATATGCATTTTTATATTCAATCGCACTTCTCTCTATCCAGGACTCATTGTGAATGGTTTCATTAATGTCGTCATTACGACAATCGAGCGACGCTTCGGCTTACGATCTCGCCAAACCGGACTTGTGGCAAGCGGCTATGACATCGCCTCCTTCGTCTGTCTAGTGCCAGTAACATATTTCGGCGGACGTGTTGGAGCATCAAAACCAAAAATTGTAGCATGGGGCGTTATTTTGATGGGCATTGGATCGCTGACCTTTGCTTTGCCACATTTTTTGGTCAGCAGCTATCGGGCGACAATGAGTGAGAGTAATGTTTGTCAAAGCGGTGATGCAAATGTAACAACTTATGAGGTAAATATTTAAATGTATGCGTTCATAAAGGGTGTTGGTTTTTGGATATGTGATTTTCAAGAGGAAATAAAAGGCATATATTTTAATGTTATGGCCAAGCTAGATCTAGCTTGTTTGGAAAGATCAGTGTTTGCCGCCGAGGCTGGCTCAAATAATTTCCAGCCGAGAGACCAAATTTCCGACCACTTTTTTGGTTGTATGTAACGCGTCTGGGCTTATCTGCGTAGACAAAAAACTTTACATAATCCCACAATAAATAGAACAGCGTTTGCGATCGCACGACCTTGAAGGTCAAGCCACCGGCGCGTGACGCGTGATAATGCGCTCACTAAAAGTTTTCTTCGATAAACATATTGCTTCGTTAGTTTTATGGCAAGTAGCGCCGTCTTATTGGACCCAAAGGTCTGCCACATCGACATCCTCCAATTCAGACATAAGTCAGGGTAGGTTAAGCTGGCTGACCCAGTGGGTCTCACATAGACGAAATACATTCATAGTGTTGTCAGGCACACTACATGCGACCAAACTGTGCTGCTACACTACTGTTGTGTATTTAGTGTGGAGAATATTGATGCAGTTTTCGCGAACTTAAGTAGTCGTTCTGAGCCATCTGTGAAACCCTTAAAGCTTTGTCTTCATATTTCAGACCTTTATTCCAGCTTCTGAAATCAGCTTCATGAGATTCACGTAGTCTATTTGTGCACTCAGGGGTAACGCTTTGTAGTATAGCGTAAGTCCTGATTTCCGGCTGTCAGGAAGCATAGCAGGTACATAAAATAAACATGAAATATAAAATTTTTAAAGCATAAATGAAATGTGTATAAAACTTACAGTGGCTGTGAGCCATTGTATACTCTCCAGGCCATCCAGATATGCAATTTTGTCTCGAGTTTTCCATCATATTAAAGCACCGTAGAAAAAAAAGTATTGGCTTAACAACAGCCATGAAGATCCTGTGGGGAATAACAGAGGAGAGACCCCAAGTGTAGCCCAACACCCTTTTGCATGTATTGTACATAGGGCCGCTGATGCGTTCTTCACTCGTTCCTCCACATTGAGTTTCCACGACTTGCTTGCTGTCCAACACAATTCCCAGATACTTAGTGTTGGACTTTAGCTGTAAAGTGTTCTCTCCCCTGCTTTGGCTTGATCCAAGCGGAAATTTATTATTTTCCTGTAAATAGTAGAATATATGTTTTATCAGTATTAACCTTGAGTAATGCTGAAATGGCTCAGTTGTTTATGGTACCTGATTTGCCAGAGACACGAGTGTTGCCAAGCACTCAACACCCACTATGGCTGAGATATCATTCCCATGGATTGTAAGCATGACAGATCCTCCTGCCATCTTCATGCGTTATTCATTAATCGCAAGGGTCCAGAGTAGAGGTGATAGCACTCCACCTTACGGAGTTTCACTGCACACATCCCACGTCATAACGTCTAGTCCTCATTGCGCTTCGATCTTTCTGCAGCTCAGCAAAGCATATATTCTTAGAACAGTATTGACTCTTATTGTATCTAACTTATTCATTAAAGAATGGTTAAAAACGTTATGGAAACCTCCAGATATGTCAAAGAAGATGCCTACAGCATATTCTCCGTGTTCAAGAGCCGATTCTATCTTCTACACAACATTATGCAAAGCTGTACCTATAAATTTACCTTTTATGTCGAGCTTTTGAGAGTAGACCCTCATCCACAATTTGCTTGATGTGAACATCTATCAAACGTTCCAATGTCTTTAAAAGAAATGAAGTTAAGCTGATTGAGGGGTAGTCCTCAGCGTACAGTTGCCTGATTTCACACGTAAAAAAAGCATTAATCAAGGCTCCAAAGCGTTCCACATTGACATTATGGTCAGCTTCATTTTTGAACGCACTCCATGGAGTCGGAACGCAATCTAAGATCCTTTCGCAATATCTTCCTTAAAATCGATGGACGGATGGACTTATTAGATGTTCTGTTCTACAGAAGAAATAGCGTCTTTGGTGCACACTGTGTGGGGTCTCGAGCGATCCATGTCTGCTCGAACTACAAACTCTTCTGGGTGGTTATGTCGACCAATCATTATTTGCTAATAAATTTATTCATCACGAAAAGGTAAGTAAATCAAGTAAGAGCTGTCAAAAAGATCAACTCGCCAGTGGGTATTGCCTCATAGAGAGTCACACGTGCAAGCTTCCTTTTATTATTCATATATTGACACTGTATTTAATCAAAAAGAATTTATTAAAAATGTACATGTGATTAAATTTGTATATATACATACGTACATACATACAAATATTTATATTTATAAATATCTCTTTCAAGTCTTGCAGCCACAACTCGCATTCGGACTCTTTCGCCGAGCAGGAGAATCTTTCTTGGACCGTTTGGTTGTTCTTTTTGGCGCAGTTATTGCATGGCGCGGGCGCTTCACCGCTCTTCACACTCGGCGTCACATATATCGATGAGAATGTCTCAAAGAAGATGTCCTCCGTGTATTTGGGTAAGCAAAACTTTTGTTGCGGCTATTTCGTACATAGCAAACTTGCATTATTATTGACAGTGCAATGAACCAGAGCAGCAACACACACACACACAAAAAAACAAACAATAACAACAAAATTGAAAGCAGGCATCGAAAATATTTAATAAAAAATTGAAAACACTTTGTACGCATTCGTTGTTGATGTGGTCGCTTGCGATTCCGTCATCTCATACACGATTACACGATTGGCCCAAAGCAATTGGCGCAGACAACAATATATACATACATACATACAGTCGATACAATCAGCCGACAATCGGTAAATAGTATGCCGCTGATAAATAGACAAGTAAGCAAGCAAGCAAGCAACGAAATAAAATAGCGTGTGGTCGGGCGTGCAGACAGATAGACAATCAATTCAAAAATAGTNTTGATGTGGTCGCTTGCGATTCCGTCATCTCATACACGATTACACGATTGGCCCAAAGCAATTGGCGCAGACAACAATATATACATACATACATAGAGTCGATACAATCAGCCGACAATCAGTAAATAGTATGCCGCTGATAAATAGACAAGTAAGCAAGGAAGCAAGCAACGAAATAAAATAGCGTGTGGTCGGGCGTGCAGACAGATAGACAATCAATTCAAAAATAGTTATTTGTTTGCGTGAGCGCATATTTGTGACGTTATTGCCACGCAAAAGACGACACTACAAAGGAGTTTTTTGTTTACGAACTCGACGGCAAACAAACAAGTCCTGATTCCTCATTCTTTCTGATGAGCTCTGTGTGCTCGCTCATTTGCTGCGAACTGTGTTAGTGGGAGGAAGAAAAGAAAGGAGTTGGAGTCAGCGTCATACACACACACACACATATATATATATATATATCATATGTATAACGAATTCCTTCCGCCTTGTGTTTAGCACAAGCAGTTTGAAGGATATTCCCATTGTGGAATAGTGTCGCTGTGACCCAGTTTAAGTGGTGGAACGCACTTCTCCATTTCCGATATACAAACACGTACATGCAAATACATACAAATGACAAGTATCCCTGTAGGGAAAAATATTAGTTAATAAATAAGTTAATTTTTATAATTACGTTCGTTCCACGGCAAGATTGGCAACCCTCTGAGTGTATTTCTGACATGAAATAAAAGCGCCTTATATATTAAAAAAACATCGGCCGTTCGAAGGCGGCTTAGTTTAAGCTTTAGGTCACTCCGTTACTTGGAAAAGCTTCAAGGCACACACCGCAAAATGTAGTCTTCTGAAATCAGCTTCATGAGATTCACGTAGTCTATTTGTACACTCAGNAGGCGGCTTAGTTTAAGCTTTAGGTCACTCCGTTACTTGGAAAAGCTTCAAGGCACACACCGCAAAATGTAGTAGGAGTTCGGGAGGAAATCGCTTCACCGTTGTACAATTCATATTCGATCTATGTCTAATGTAAGCCACCTGAATTTTTAACACGGCGATTTGATTTGAGTTAACTGTGTTGATGTGTCTGCTGGCATAAACTGCGCGTTTAGGCCAATCGACTCCAGTCTTCACCTCCTCAAAGCAATAACATTTCCAACTCTCGCTAATGCTAACTCATCAAGACAGTCGAAGAAATGTTACCGAAGGAATTTGTGTCCCGCGGATGTCAAGGCTGGACAATCCTCTTCTTCGTCCCCACAGCTGCGGGTGTGGTAATCCTTTCTTTTCGCGTGAAGCCCCATTAAACAGTTTCCTGTTATTATACCTGTCGTTGCGTTAATGGGGAATAAGTCTAGAAGCATAAGACGTTTTCGCTATAACTATCTGATCCTCATTCAGCCAACTTGAGTCTGCTTCTTTGACACTGTCCAGTAAAATCATATACTTTGCCATGGATAGCGATACGTCAGTATGATGCGTATGTTTTATTGTGGCTAGAAGGGTTCCTTATCCCATTAGCTCGTCTGTTATGCAGTAACCTGTGATCTCACTGTGTCCGAGTACTTAGACCGCGTCAGTGTTGCATTTAGTAGAGAGTTTGTTCAGATTGCTTCTTTATTCTCTAGCCACCTGTGATGTGGTACTGTTACGCTGTAGAGATCTGATGCCAAGCTTGACTGTCTGAATTATCATAACTGATTGTCTAGCTGCCGTAGATTGCTAAGAACTCTGCTTGGAAGGGACTGCATTAATTTGATAGCCTCTTGGTCATATTTACTGAGCACGTCGGAGAGTAGATTCCACAGCTCACTTTTGCAACGAGTTTTGAGAAGTCCGTCTGGAACCATAGTGGAGAAATGATTATCGAAACACATGCTGGAGTTGGTATAATCCAGCTCCTTCGGCACTTCAGCGAGATATAATATTTTAAGCTGACGATGTTGTATCCCAGGTAAGTTAAATTTCTACTTCACTAAGACTAAATTGAGTTTACCCGTTACTGGCGAACTACTACGCAAAAGGCCAACTGGTATGAATTCCTCTTTAAAATACTAGTATTTTTGTTAGTCTACCTTCACCCTACAGGGTACATCCGTTTATTGTACATTCAAATGACAATTATATATAACAAATATACGAATATGTCAGCTTGTCCTTATGTTTGTCTGCATCTAAAATGCTGATTCCGTAAATTCTTACCAACATTTCATTTGCTGCTGGTATCCGACATTTAGTTTTTTTAGTTATCTGAGAAGAAAGTGGCAACCAATTCTAGAATGAACTAATGTCGCTGCTGATAAAAGAGGGAAATTTATTGGCGAAACTGTTGATGCTATCCGTATTTTATTTAGAAATTACAAAATATGCACAATGACTCAATTACTAAACTGTTAGTTGAACATAAATTTAACACACACACATAAATTTGGAATTTTGGTGAGACAGAAACTAAGAAAATTTCTAAAAATTTAACACTCACAAGTAGATACCAAGTAAAGCCAGACCGCTCTCTACCTGATCATACCAACGAAGTGGGGGGCTTTACACTGCAAGGTGCAGTGGCAGTATCTGTCAAAGCCAACCACTCGAGCTAACCAACTTTCCTGCTATCTTTCAATTCGCAAGACATTTTTTTCCGACAGATTTTATGCGCTTTAATGTGGATTGTGGCGAGATTTTCGCCTCTCTTGTGAATGATAGTACTTGATGTCTGAGTCTCTTTCCTACCACAAAACCAACTCCAAACTTGTATTCCTCTAAGTGGACATTGTCACAAAGACCCAACTTCTTTTCGAAAAGCAGTGATATCAATCCTACCTTTTGTGCGCGTATCAACCAATCGAGTACGCCACCTGCCAATTGAAGAGATCAATCATTTCAGATGTTTGCTCTCAAATCATATTGATCGTCGTAGAAAATGTGAGGTCTCATTCGAATGTAAATTTGTTCATTGCAAATGGTTTCTACGCGGCGAGTCCCCAAACCAGCACTCAAACTCGCCTGGCGAGAGCGATACTTGTTTGAACACATTTACAAGTATAGCGTGACGCCAGTTTGCAGCCCCACCTCTGGCGAACAGACGTTGCAATGACCCAAGTTTTCATAAGAGTTGGTTACCGCATTTTACATAATGGTTGATAACGTTCTGAGGATATGCGACGAGGACGTAAGAATAGAGATTGAGTATAGCCATGCTAGCAGAAGCAAGACTACACGATGGGAAGAATATCCTATATCCAAACTTATGTACAGTGGCTCACGGTCAAAGTGATGCAGCGGTGTAAGAAATACTCGTAGTATAATAAGTTTTATTTAAAAATTAAATAAATTTTCCAAATAACGTGATACACATTTACACATTTTATTTATGCTTTAAATTATATTTATTTATATATATTTTATGTAATTAACAGTAACTTTTACTATTAATTTTTAGCTTACATCGAAAATGACGCAGTAACAAAAAAAATTAATAAATATCATTTTTTTTGTAAAGAACAAAACTAAAATTGTATGTTAATTAATATTTAGTAGGATACCCCTTGCTGTCTATGACTGCTTTCAAACGTTTAGGCATGGAGTCCACTAACTTCTTTGTGTAGTCATGAACATTATTGTGCCGTTCTGTTCGTAGGGCTTTTTATAAGTCGGCTTGATTTCAAATCTCATATTTTCGAATCTCTCGTTCCAAAACTAACCACAGATTCTCAATCACATTCAAATCTGGAGACTGCGCTGGGATTTGTAGTATGTGCGACAGTTCCAAATAAGCAAACTTTGCACAATGCCTGATTTGTGTTTCGGATCATTATATTGATAGTACCGAAACTTATCACGAATATTTCATTTTGAGGCATTTTGCAGCAAATTTCTTTTCAAAATGTTCCAATACAGTCTTATTCATAGTATATCATAATTGATGAAACCTCAGAAGACGACATGCTTCCCCATACCATTACATGCCATCCTCCATGTTTTACAGTGCTACGAAAATTTTGCTGTTTTAACGCAGCATTTGGTTTTCTCCATACATATCCAGCTGATCTAAACAAGTTGAATTTACTTTCGTTCGCAAAAACTACGGCGTACTAGAAGCTTTCATCTTTATATTAATGCTCCTTAGCAAACTTAAGCGCTACAATTTGATTTCTAGCACTGACATATGGTTTATTTCGAGCTGTGTGGCCATCGAAATCAGCTTCTCTGAAGATTCTTCGAACGTGTCTGTGTTACAGCTTTTTTCAAGTTATTATAGCACTTCTTTAACTAAAGCTGGAGCACTTAAGTGGGGGTTTCGCGTATTTTTCCGTACAATCCAAGGGGAATCACTTTCGTTAAAAAAATTTTTATGAGCTATTTTAGTTTTATTTAACACACGACCTTCACGAACATAGCGTTCAATGATTTGTTGACAATTGGCTCAATTTCATCATTTCCGCGATTTTACGCTGACTTTTGTCATCTTTATAATGTTTTAGGATTAATTCGCTCACTATCTATACTTGCTTGGCGACCCATTTTGATCTTCTTTGTAAATCTTTGTGCATCATTTTCGCTGTGAGGTAAAATTTAATACTGAAGTTTGTAATGGTTGTAAATTACATAAAATAAACATAAAGTATAAAATTTTTACAGCACCAATGAAATGTGTATATCTGCGTCTATTAACTGGCTTTTATGTTTTTTGGGAAATTTATTTAAATTTTAGATAAAACTTATCATACTTTTTCTTAGATAGCTATTGTACATCACTTTGGCTGTGAGCCATTGTATATTTATTTATTTTACATAGATTGTAAGTGCAGAGAAATAACTTGGTTGCTGTTGTTGTTGTTTGACTTGAATTTGCCACAATAACTCACTTTTTAATTGGTATTAGAAAAAGTTTATTCGGCAAAACTTTTTTTCAACCATTGAAATTGATAATCGCGCCAGTCGAACTGGTCTATAGCTAGTGCGTTGCCAACTACACAAAAAATTAAATAATAAGGAGCGACTAGAGCGCGAGTTTATATTTATGACATTCAAGTAAGAGATTATGCTCGCACTAAAGCTGAGAAATAAACAATTTCACATTCTAATAAAGGAATTATAAATAATTAGAAAAAGAGATTCCAGCCAAGAAGGTTTAAAACACTTATTATCCGTTTTGAAACTGTTAGAAGGTTTTCATTCCGAGAATTTTCTTAAAAATCGTGACTTGGCATATACCATATGAAATTGGTTCAAACAGACCTCAACACGTTCTTTACGCTTATGTAACGGCATTGTTGACAGTTTTGTGAAACTTTCTTTCGGTGTCTCTTACGTAAAAACGAAATAATTATCTACAACCAACATCTTAAATTACCTGAAATTGTTATGAAAGTGTTTTGTAGTAAAATTGAAGTACTGCCAAGCTGTTTTTTCCGAACCAAAACGACTATTGGAACATTATAGTCACATCCAGAAGGGACATTTCAGTCCCAGGACTCACCGACGGCAGTTACGGCGATAAGTTTAAGCAGTGGTAACTTTTCATTTCTACGGCACACTCATAAAGTAGATCGTAACAGTTTAGTCGGTACGTTTTACACTATTTGAACCAAAAAGCTCAAGCCGCCTACTCAGTCTCGAACTGGGCCAATCTGTACTTTACTTAAGGTGACTACAAATTTTTTGTTTTCTGTTTGTTGAACCATACAAAATCTTCCTATTTTATTTTTTTACGTCAAAAATTTTTTTAATTTATTTCAAACTGTGAAATATATAATATATTAAAAGTGATAATCTACATAAGATTTATATTTATTTTTCCGTACTTTCATTTTTCTTTCCATTATAATTGCTTTTATAATTTTTATAGCTAAATGAGTGATAAATAAACATGCTCCTATGTAAATTTGTAATGACCTAAGCTGGCTTATCGTAATATATATTTCATTTTTAGGTATCTACTATACCATGGCGATAATTGGGCCCGCTGTTGGCTACGTGCTTGGTGGGCAGCTTTTACTGATTTATACCGAATTCATGACTGTGGATGCCTCAGAGTAAGTAATGAAAACCACATGTAAATGCGTGAAAAAAAGAAGTAAAAAAATGTAGTAAATAACTGCCGAAGAAAGTAATATCGTAAGGTATGCGAAGCAGATGATTTTTCTGTTATTTGTCTGTTTGTTTGGCCGCCAACGATAAGCAAAAATTTCGCGGTGTATGGTTGTCAAGTGGTTGTGTATGGTACGTATGGTTGGAGGTTATGTTGGTTGGCTACAGGTGTTTTCTATTAGTGGATATTGCGGCGTTACACATACATACATACATACAACCACACACGCTCAGTCACACTCGACAAGCCAAGTCAGGTCGTTTCCATGTCATAATAAATCCTTTTTGATACGCTGCATACAGCCGCTGTGCCACCGTCACCAGGGACTCATAAAACAAATTTTTCCACTGTCAACAGTGTTGTTTATGCGCCGACAGCGCATGGGGGCTCATAAGCTGTGAAGTCACAGCCAAAGCTAATATAAAGTGTGAATGAATGAAACTTAAATGTTGCGCGGGTGACTGCGGCTGTTGACGGCTCATCCCTTATTTATTGCCAAGGTGATTTCGGTGAAAAGTCGCAAACGTTTGTATTTTTTGTTTTTTTTTTTTTTTGAAAAGAAATTATATGTACTTAGAAAAATGATTTACTTAGGTAGTTTGTAGGGTTGCAGGAGGAAGAGGAGTCTTGTTTTTTACTTTCATTGTTGAAAGAAGTAGAATGTAGAAAAGTTAAAAATGTATATGATGCCACTTAAAGTTAGGTAAGACTGAATTGCTTACGTTTAGGTGATATATATATACATATAAGCATATGCTTGTTTACTTAGTTGGCTATAATGGCTTACGCGATTATAACGGAATCAACGATAGCTTGTCCAAAGTTTATTTTCTTTAAACACCATGTTATGGTGTACCATCATTGGGTACTGCATCGAAAACTTTCAAGGTTGGAGTGGTTTCGCCCACCATCGTTCCCTTATCTGCAGCGTTCGTCGAAGCCAATGCTCTAAGGCAAATAAATCTTCCGCACAATCTATGCTTTCTCCTAAATGAAGGTAAGGATATTGTCATCGTCCAAGCCTTCGCAACATATAGCAGTGAGGGATTGATGAGCGACTTGTAGGGTTTGGTTCTTGTTCTTTCTCCAAAGTAGCTTCTATTGACAGAGAGAGAGATTTCGTGACAAGGGATGACCCTACAATAGCTCCAGCAATGTCTCATGCGATCAATCTTTAAATATGATTCCTCGAATAACTTTCGCGAAGAGCTCGCTGGTGCAAAGGTGACAGACAGAGCTTTTTTTTATTCAAAAGTATGCCAATCAAAGGCAAACCAACTCAATACAGTTATAGAACGATTCAACAAGGTTCTCCAACTAACCATTTTATTTATAGGCGCATTTCATGTGAAGGTTTAACCGATCAGTTAGAGATCCCTTCGACTGAAACTGTATTAAAAACTCTAAATAGCCCCCAGTTAGCGGAGATTGATATAATATGAACCCTCTAATCTCTTTGGTAAGGTTCGTCCCGTGCAATAATCCCAGTGATCCCTCAGCTTATATATCCACATTCTGATCGAACTAATAGCGCGACTAACGTTCAGGTTTCGAATCACAAGCGTTGGATATAAACCTCTAGGAATCTGCTGCGAGACCTCTTCTTTGGATAAAACTCATCCCATATGGCAGGCTTTCTCTACAGTCACATATGTTAGTCCTTCAAACTACTGAAAAAAAAAACAGTAAACAGGCGATTGGATAGCTTCTCATGTCACCGATGTTATTGCTTTGTCTGCTCATATTGGACTTTATTCTACTTAATGCGACCACTGGACCTCAAGCAATTTTTTTCCAAGATACTACTTGTTGTGTAGATTTCTAAGATGTCTGGAATGACTTTATTTCCATTTTACATCGCTCATAAAGGAATAGCTTAGAGATACCCAGATTCAGCTGGCGAGCCTCTTTGAACAAAACAGCACTCTCTCCATTCTTTCTCTCTCTTAGAAATGTACGTTGATATTTATATAACTTTTTTTTCACAGATTGGGATTTACAAGCTCCAGTAAAGTTTGGATTGGTGCTTGGTGGATTGGTTTCGTTTTCGCAGCCGTTGCATGCATTCTACTCTCCATACCAATATTTGGATATCCACCTTCACTGCCGGGAGCCGAGCAATTACAGCAGCAAAAAGTCTCGGAGGCCTATAATGCGGATGGCAAAAACACTGAACAATCATTTACTAAAATCAAAGAACTGCCATATGCACTTATTTCATTGCTGAAGAATCCCACGTTTTCCTTTCTGAATTTAGCTGGCGCCACAGAGGGTTTAGTCATCGCAGGATTTGCAGCTTTTCTACCGAAACAAATAGAGAATCAATTCAGTATTTCACCAGTTTGGTCGGCACTATTGATGGGCCTCATAACTGTGCCTGCCGGTGGTGGTGGCACATTTTTAGGTGGCTACCTAATTAAGAAATGGAATCTCAACTGCGCACAAATTATAAAAATGTGTTTGATTATGACACTGATTTCGGCATGTTTTACATCCTGTTTTTTACTCTCCTGCCCGAATTTGGGTTTCGCAGGCGTAACAGCGAAATATCAAGCAACAAAGCTTAAAACTGGCATTGGAGAGCTGACAAATCAGACGGATGGTATAGAGTTTTCTTATCTGGGCACCGAGCTAAAATCAGCTTGCAACATGGAATGTGGATGCAGTAAATTGAATTATGAACCTATTTGTGGCGCTGACGGTATTCTCTACTACAGTCCCTGCTTTGCCGGTTGCCAAGCGGAGTATATGAGTAATATTAAAACTTACTCGAATTGTTCGTGTATTGAAAAGACGACATCTTTTAATGCTAATCTTGTACCAGAGGCCACAAATACGATGTGCGAGTCCACCTGCCAGTATTTGCCGTACTTTGTTGGCTTGTGTTTCGTACTGATGCTGTTCACTTTTCTATCGACCATGCCTGCTTTATCGGCCACACTAAGGTGAGTTGCAAATATTATTTACATCTTTCTGTGATATTATCGTATGTCCTTACCATAAAAAAAACGGATAGACGCATACCAAAAGAAGTACTTCTGAAAATTCGCAAATTTTCTCAAAAACCGATGGGTATCGAGGGTTCGAGGGAGCGCAATGGCTTTCATGTGCACGAGAAAGCAAAATTCTTGGGTATAATCCCAAGCAGAAAATTGCTCTGAAAAGAAACCTTTGAGGTGAACAAAAAAAGACGTCGGTAGCTCTAAATTGCTAGTACTAGATCTATTGTACATAAATGTAGCCAAGCTTGTTTTGGTCTACGTAGTTTTCGCATGATCGAAGTCGCTATAAATAGCTATGGGAGGGATTAGAACCTGATGGGAGTCGTGGGTGTTAAGAATTATAAATTAGTCGACGATACAGGCCTTCAAGCCATTGCCGTATTTTTCAGATGGCCTTTTTCCCTATCAGAGAGCGGTGAACACACTGCTTGGATAGTGGCTTATGTGAGGCGTTTATAAACCCACTCTACAAGCGCAGTTGCCAGATCCTTTTGGCTCAAAGTGGACCCCGGAAGGTTAGTCAAGTTCCCATCTATACCAACGTTAATATTTCCGTGCACAGTGGTAGTTCTAACTGGACATGGTGCAAAGGGTATTCTCGAGGTTCTCTACTAAAATCCTCATCAAAGGGGAATTTCTCGACATATTGCTGATTTGTGCCGATGCCCTGGCAGAAGAGAAGTAGGATGTGAGCAAAGATGTGTCTCAAGTATACTTAAGAGCGTTGCCCCCACCGCGTTATAAAGACCATATTTGGAGACTTTAATTTTAGAGTGGCTAACGACAGTAGCTTCGGTACAACAATGTTGAAAATTTAGCCTCCAGAATCTTACATCGCCTGTAGCATTGCATGGTAGCAGTAAATATACATATGTACTCGCCTCTGTGCAACAAACGTTGGGGGTGGTTTTTTTTTACAATTAAATAGGTCCGTTAAATTGAAAACATTAATACTGGAGTCCAAGGAGTCATACGTTGAATGGAATATGCACCTGAAATATCTCTATCAGCATTCCAAAACCCTTTAAGATACTTGCAAATCTGCGAAACGTTGGTGTGCCTTGGTATGAGATTACACAAAGGCTCGTCAGCGCAGTCTCCTCTCCGCATTACGATTTAAAATCTTTGTTGTAAAAAAATTGAGTGGCTGTGACCACACCATTTCTCTTGAAAACTGCAGGCTTTTGAATTATTTGCTTAGTTTAATAGCCTATTTCCACCAAGCACTTAAATGCATTTAAGGCCTCTGTTAAGTAAATGAAATGTCAAACGTTTCCACCGAAAGTGAGTTAACTCAAACAGCTGATTTTTATTTACATTTGCAGTTTACAAAATTTGCCACGACTATAGAAATCATGAATTCAATAGGCCGCATTCATTTTATTTAGCTATTTCTGCAATTTTAAGACTTGCAAGTGCAGATTATTTCTGCACGGACAAACGTTGCTGAAACCAAAATGCTTTTATGCATGTTTCCATTTTCATATTTGTTTGTTTGTTCCCTCAAATTATTTGTTTTGCGCAATCAGCTGATAGCTACCAAAGCCACGTATATTTTAATGTTGAGGGGATCGTTTGATATTTCACAATCTTATTTTGTTTGTTTCTTATAATTTTTTTTTTGAAGGCGGAGAAGCATTATCTTCGCCAATTACTTAATATAGGCATTTATGTTAAAACTAGCGCAAAAAAGGAATTTTTATACAAAATATTTCACCATGCAAAATGAAAGTCTCGCCCTTCATTAAATCCGAAAATACACGACTCTGGCAAGAAATACACCGAAACTTCCGAAATCATTACATTAGTAGTGACAGCATCGAATGTTACCATAACATTTTTTCAACAACAAACACATGGGAATTACCGCATTTAAATGCGATGTTTAAATACATTTAAGCTAAAATGCATTTAACGTCCGGTGGAAATAGGCTATAAGGTTTAATGCTCCACAACGGTAACATATTAGAAAGAAAGAAGAAGAATATTACCAGTACCATTGGAATATCCAGTAGTTATGAGGGTGTCACGCAAACTCCGCAGACGAACGATTGTGTGCATTACCAATCGTTAGATAAATCGCTAAGGAAATAGTGGTAATGCAGCATTCCCCAGTCAAACGCATCCCAGTTGTTTTTGTAATGCCAAGAATGGTTATTGTTTTTTTATATTTTTTTTTAAATAAATTAATATAAATAATAAATATAAATAACGATATCGCTAACCCAGTGGGACTAACGAAATAATCGACCACTTTGCACCAGTCAAATCGCTAGGTCTACGTAATGCAACCTCGCACAGTGGGGTAAAATTGCTTAAAACATGCGTATTGATTATTTTTTGCTGTAATTTCTATACTGTTGATGATACTTTCTTCAAATTTGGTCAGTTGACTTCAAATTGTTTAAGGAATCGTATAGCTTTCGGTTTTCATATTTACCATTTCTGGGGCTGCCACAATACAGTCGGAAAATAAGATTCCTTACAAATCTTCTTATTCAAAAGAAAATACAAATATTAAACATTTTCCAATTAATTAAGGTAATTTTCTCATTATATAATAAATATACTATACCTTTCCAGGCCTATTCTCACTGTTACCGGTAAAGTAAATTTTGTTACTTTTCTTTAACACCCGAAATTGAATTTGGTATTCTAGCGAACTGTAACAGTGTTTGAAAAAAATTTGGCAGCACTGCCTTTTTCGTCCATGTCAAATTACACTTGCCAGTTGATAAAGTAAAAAGAAAAATATTCACATCGAAATGGAAGAGGGTGTACAAAAAAATTAAAAAGTTTTATTAATTTGTTTATTAAATCATAAATATTTGAACCTAATTATGGAAAATATGCCTGGACAACAAAAATAGCTGCATGAAAATTTTTATCTTACAAGTTAAAGAGCTATTTTTTAGTCTCGAAAACTTCTTAAAATACGGCCTTTTGCACTTTTTTCTTCATCTTCAATGAATTCCAGGCCCGAAATAAGCCTACCCTTTTCGGTTTTTATTTTTTCTCAAATTTACAACACAAAATCAAACAGCAGATATTTTTGTTACCTCCTATTTCGCTGGTAACAAAGTTTACAGGGTGACAGTGAACTCAGAATACGAAATGGTGACAAAATTTACTGAATGGTAAATTTTAATACTTAGGTAAATTTTGTTACCTCGACAGAATAGGCCTGTTCAAAGTCCATGTACCATTTTGTAAAAAATGATTACGAATTTCCTCACCGCAAAAACACTTTATCTGCTACAAATTTCAACATTTTCAAATGAATGAAACGAACCAACAAATGACATCTACTGAAAACGACGCAAAATGACAGTACCTTTGAAATGAATATAGCCACAGATGAACACGACGCGAAATAATACTAGTACAGGGTGCGCCATTAAGATGTATCCTATTTCAACATTGAATAGCTCCGCCACTTTTCAGCCAATTTTAACAAATGAACACAATTCCGAAACATCATTCGGTGCCTGAAATCGTAGCACTTTACTTTGAAAACGATGAGAGACCATTGGCGGTGCATGCTACCGTTGGATTTTGGCGCACTTTATCTGTCCACAACTGCAGAAAAAAGGGCTGAAAAGCTTTTATTTTCAACACACCGCAGCCGCTACGATCAAGTTTTCGCAGAGCAACTTCCCAGGACGCGTTATCTCAAAAAATGGCGTTTTGGAGTGGCCTCCTTGTTCTCTGGATTAAACGGTACCAGACTTTTTTCTGTGGAGATATTCAAAAATTAAAGTTTATGCCAGCAAACCGAAGAACATTGACGAACTCAATGTTAATATACGAGGTGAAATAGCTGCGATATCACCCGAAATGCTGGCCAATGTTATGCAGAATGCCCGCAAAAGAGCTGCTTTTTGTGTATCAAATAGGGGTGGTCATTTAATCGACGTTGTATTCTAAACATGCAGTGCAATTCTGTAACTTTTATCGACACGATTTGTCGGATCGCAAAGTTACGAATTTTGTCGCTTGCGCTAACGATTATGCGATTCTCTAACGCAGTTGTTACGATAATCGACATCGCACATTTCCATTTTATTAAAATGTAGGAAAGGTGGCACCACAGCTCAACGAAACGTCAAAATGTACGAAAAGCACAAAGAGGAATGACAAAAACAAATAAATTTGTTATTGAAATTATTTTAATTAAAAGAATAGCAATGCATTACAAAGTTTTTCAATAGCATGTTATGGTTTGCACTTTCATGCATGACTCTTCGCTCTATAGGGGAGCTCCAAATAAAATAATTGTGCCGCGCTCTTGGGTACTTGGCATTTGCCAGTATAATCTTGCGATAAGGACCATATATCTATGTGAAAATATAATTAACTTTGTTACTACAATAGTAATCGGAAACAAATTTACTCTCACCATTTGCACATTGATGGAGTGGTATCCATGGTGGTTTATATACGCTTCTTCATGGTTTTTAACTCATGTGCAATCGATAGCTCCAATAGTGCCTCCAACATATGGTGACGATGACGAAGCAAAAATTTGGAAAACTAACAGAAAACCTTGAACGGTTGATTGCGTCTGTTACGCGATGAACACAACGGTTTACTGACGACTGACTCATGGACATGCCCATTGCAAAAAATCGCGAGGCGGGTAGAACCTTTAAACATTATAATAGTGTTAAGACTAAAAAAAATATTGAAAATATATATTATTACCTGTTTCTCCGTAGACAATGCTGTTATTCTTCTTCCTTTTAGTTGGCAATCTAGTTCAGAAACGATTTCTTCAACTAAATCCGGCGAAACTCGGTAGCATCCAAATGAAAAGGATCTTCCGCTTCTCGACGCAAACTTCTATTCAATGATGAAGATTAGGATACCTCGTCATATTGTGATAAAACGTATGCCAAATATTCAAAACCATTTCTTTTATTTTTTTATTTTTATTTTTGTAT